AGATAAGCAGTCCGTTGGTAACCCAGCCACGCCTCCTCACAGAAGGCCCTTATCACTACTTGGCATTGCTTTTGGTGGAGAAGGCCTGTAGTCTAAAGGCTTAAAGGAGTAGAAAATTACAGCAAGTTGTAAAAAAAAAAAAAATATATATATATATATATAGCAAAGAGCCAAAAATAAAATCTAACATTTCTTAAAACTGGTACTTTAGGCGCTGGATTTTAAACAAAGTCAGAGAAGGAGAGCAAAGTATTTTAAAAGTATAAGCAAAGTATATGTAACTAAAAAAATTTTTTTTGATATTGAAATGAGAAAATGCATAGGAAGAGAGACCTCATCAAAAGAAGTTTTGAACTTTATCAATACTATTTTCAGCCTCTAGCAAATAGACTTTTTTTCTTTTCCAACATTATTTCTCAGAGAAAAGGAGCATTTAGTGGAAAATTTCTTCTGAAGAAGTAGAGGCCGAAACCCAAGGCTCTAAACTCTAGTCAGAACTTAGGAATATCTAACATTGAAGGCAACACATTGAACACATTGTTTAGAGGAACAAAGTCCTCCAGGCAATTTCCATAAACTGCATATACTTTATTCAAGTCCTCATTGAGAATGTTGTGTTTTACTTGCACCCTTACAAAAGCTGAATGGTGGCCAAATTGAATTGAGGCTGAAATTTTCCACTGATATTCTTAGAAATACCTGCTTTAATTCTCCAGATTTAGTTGCTTTGATGCAATATCTTATCACAGTCACCTAAAGCCCCCACCACAATAAGTAAATACTTAATAAATAAACAAATGCCCTAAGAGCAACTTGATAAAAAAATGTTTTTAAACGTCACTTGCTCAATAATCAAATATCTGTAGGCGATCTATAAAATGATCTTTGTCATAGTTTTCCTTCCATTTTCAGAAAGAAAAATAGATAATCTTGTATTTCAATAGTAGTTAATACCTGAGCTTGCTTAGCAGTATCAGGAGGGCTGAGATATCTGATACTAAAATACATAGCAAAAAAAAGTCAGCTTGAACGAAAAATAGCTATGCTCACTCACATAAATTTTATATACTCTAGAACTTAGTTAAATTTTAAAGACTTGCTGGTTATTCTAAGATAGATTCATGTGGGACAATTTGAAGAATTTTATCAGTCACTTCAAATTAAATAAACTAGCCCCTGGTTGAAAAACACTTAGGAGAAACAAAAGAAGTATCTCTTTGTACATTCCCAGGTGCTTAAGCTACTTCCAAAATTCAAGGCAAGGAAACCAAATCCCATAGTACATACCCCTAACAACCACTGGGAGTGTTTTGACACCTATAGTTGACAGCAATAGCTCTCCAGTCTATCTGGCTTTCCCACATTCCTTGGGCCCTAATCAGCTAATGGACATCTGTGGGCATCTGGTTATGCAAAGCTGCGACATTTCTGTGAATAAGGGGATACATAGGACTTTTTATAATAGAATCTTCAGTTGGATTGATGAGGTAGAAAGCATCTAAGCAAATCTGTAACCATTGAACAATAGACATGGTTTGCCTAAACCTCTTAGGGATGGACTTATGAGAAAGGTCTCTCTCTCTCTCTCTCTCTCTTCTCTTGTGCTCTAGGCCCCAGATTTCTGTAAGTAAATTGGCTTTCAAGAAATCCTATTGCATCATTTGCAAACTTTTAAACGGTCAATTTAAATACTATCTTTTTAAATTTAGAATGTACTTTTACATTTTATATTACAAGGTCTCTTGGAATGTCTAATCCAACTTCCTTATTTTACAGATAAGAAATTTGATATCATAAAAAATTAAATCATAAGCTCAGTTTAACACAGCTGGTAAGGAATGGAACCAAGACCTAATTCTGCTGGTTTCCAATAATATTTCCATTTCCAGATCTGTGACTGGTCAAAATCTTATCAGAAAGATTTCTTGGATGTGTTAGCATATTAGCTGGCGAACACTGGGGTGCATTGTACACACAAAAAAAGACAATTAAATTCCTTGAGATTCTGGGATCCTAGGGCCAAAGAGTTTAAAAATAGTCAGTATTCTTCATTTTGACTTTGTCACACCAGTTTATCGTGCTAATTACATTATATCTCAGCTCTCAGCGTCCTCTTGCTATAGCCACTAAGAGGAACGGTTTTTTCTTCTGGTAATTTTGACGTGAGGGTTGTTTTTAAAATCTGTTCACTTTTCCAGATTATTCCTGAAAATTTCCACTTCTCTCTCTCTCTCTCTCTTTCTCTCTCTCTCATATATATATATATATATACACACACACATATGAGGTATTATGAAAGATGTGTCAGCATTTGGCTACCCAACATTACACATTTCCTTAGTTGCTCTAAAAAATGTACTCTGAAGTCCTTACCCCATGCCTACTTACAATGACTCACTGGCAGAAACTTGAAGGATGGGAAGAATTTGGGGTAGAAATGTGGAAGAGGAGGAATTAAGATAAAGAAATAGCATGAGCTAAAATGCAGAGACGGGAGTTGCAATGTGCATTTGCGTGAAGACCAGGGGACAGGAGTGAGGCAAGGCTGGCAAACTTCTCAGACTGACAAGAGCTTCAAGTTCAAGTGGCAAATTAGAGCAAAGTAAAACACAAGGGTAGCTTTAGCAAGGCCTCAAATCCCTCGTTTAAAATTTTGTTTCAGGGGAGCCTGGGTGGCTCAGTCAGTTAAGCGTTTGATTTCTGCTCAGATCATGATCTCAGTGTGTGGGTTCGAGCCCCACACTGAGCTCTGCGCTGACAGCTCAGAGCTTGGAGCCTGGTTCGGATTCTGTGTCTCCCCCTCTCTCTGTCCCTCCCCTGCTCACGTTCTGTCTGTCTCTGTCAAAAATAAACATTAAAAAAATTTTTTGTTTATGTTCCCAGACACTGAAATAACATTTTATGGTACTTTGTACAAAGTACATTACAGTGACTGGAAATGAATCACATAGTTTTAGGTTCTGGAAGGGTGTAATGAATAAATTAATATACCACCCAGAGTATCAAAGATTCCAAATTTTTGTAACTGTATCATCTCACACTTGTCATATCTGAATTGTTCCAGAACATTCCCCTCTTCTTTCTTACCCTCACTGCTCTGTTCTCACAGTTGTTCATTAAAACAGACTGAGACATCTGTATATTGAGGCAGGGAACACAGAAGGACCCTGTCACTATTCCCAGTGTGCCAAGAAGGTGGGGCAACTTGTGGGCTCAGGACACATTTAGGGATACAATGGGGAATAGAGGTCCAGTATCCTAATAACCTGTTATGTGCTCTATCCACCAAATCATATGGCTTTCCCAAACAGCTGACATTTTTAACATGAAATGCTGTTAGAAGGACAATGATAAAGTACAATGTTGGACAAATATCCTATAATTTTGCTTTATCCCAAAACTTCCAGTAGCTGAGCTCCTGTTACGATGTGATAAAGCCTGCTCTTACAGCTGCTAGTTTGGGTTTGGTTCCCTCCTGACTTGGAGTTGATAGGAGTCTTATCTTATGAAAGCAAACTCTTACAAGGACACATCCTGCATATGAAATGCCTTAAATAGTTTCCAAGTCACAAAACTAAATTTTCTAAGTGCTATAGGGTTGTTTTTTTGTTGTTGTTGTTTTGTTTTGTTTTGTTTTGTTTTGGCATAGGATGACCATGAATATTGATTGATACATTTATTTGTGGAAGTTTTACACAGCTAATTTGTGGTAAAACAGGGATAAAAACTCACATCTGCTGACTTCCAGCTCAGTGTCTTTTCTGCCAGACCCTACTATTTTATACAGAATGAATGTATAAATGGGGATCTTGCCTGCCCCCCCCCCCAAATATTTGGAGTAGGCTTTGGCTGTTAAGCAATATATTCAGTTTTGCTATTGAACTAAAGGACTGAGTCAAGCTGTCATTCATTTTTCTTTTCTTTTTTTTTTTTGGAAGGGTTTTAGTAAGCCAAAAGAGCCAGTTACAATTTAGAAAAAAAGAGTTTTCTGAAGTGGTTGTTGTGATAATATCTGAGCCTAATGTTTTGAATAGCCCTCAATATTTTGTTTCAACTCTCTGATCACTAGCTCTTAAAGAAGAGGGTAGCCTGGTCAGTGGGCGAGGTGGCCAATGCAATGACCCAGCTTCTGTTCGACTATAGAGTGGCTTACTCTGGCAGTTCCCTTGAAGCCAGGTAGTCACACTTCTGCCTTTCCTTAACTTGATAGAAAAATAGCTCCTCACTGAGTCTGCCTTGAAGCTGCTGTGGACTAGGATGACAACAGCTTCAAAGAACCTTGAACTTTATAGCCTGGTTCTGTACTACCCAGCTACTGGCCATCCTCATTGTCCCAAATCATTGTTGAGGCAGTAGGCATAGAAAGAAAAATCAGCCTATAATCTTGGCCACTGTACATTCTTCAGCCCAGACAGAAAGCAAGGGATGTTTATCTCCCTTGTCCCAGTGAGAAAAGAGGTCAGAGTTCCAGTTCAAGCTTTGCCACTAACTGGTTGAGGATCTGAGTAAGTCACTCAACTTATCTGAGTCTCAGTTTCTTGCCTCTAATATGAGAGTAATGGGACAGATAGCTTGTAAAGGATGTCACTAGTCCAAAATCATGGAAATTTATATGGCTGAGATAATAATATTCATGTTTAACCTATTATGTATTCACTACATGCTGGGTATCCTCTCTTTCCACCTTCAAAACCTGAAAGCATATTATTATATATTAACCATTATCTGTAAAAGAGAAAAACAAAGATCAGAAACATTGCCTAACTTGCCTAAGAGATTCAGTTGATAAATGGCAGAGCTGGGTTTTAAATTCAGATCTGTTTGACTGCAGAACTGTCTGCAAAGGTCTACCATGATCTATGCAGAATAAAAAGAATGAAAGCCCCAAATAAGGTGCTTTGAGAGATTAAGTTGTCAACAAATTATACAACTACTCTCAAGCAAGTCTTCACTTATGGCAAAGTGGGGCTAAGTGAAAGAATACAAAAATAATAACTCACCTTGTGCATAACCTGAGGTGGGAGAGGTGTATAGGGTAACATGTAGTATCACAGCTATGTTATGGAAAGACAGATGTTTCTGGTTAGTAACAATTTGTTAGCTGAAATCTCACTTTTTTGAGCCAAGCATCTTCCAATCCAGTTACGAAGCCTACCCCAAATCCTCAGAACCAAAGAGGATCGCATACTTTAGGTGTGCCAGCTTTATTTAAAATATTGGCATTTTGGTAACTGACTTCTTGCACACATTAGGTTTCAGCTTAAGGAAGTTAGGCTGGATGAGAAAAACTCTAATGAAAAGTGAAGGGGTGCCTCAGTGGCTCTGTCAGTTAAGTGTCTGACTCTTGATTTTGACTCAGGTCATGATTCCAGGGATTGGGAGCTGTAGTCCTGCATGGGGTGTAGAGCCTGCCTGGGATTCTCTTTCCTTCTGCCCCTCCCCAACTGGTGCGCTTGCATGTGTGGGCATGCTCTCTATCTCTCAACAACAACAACAACAACAACAAAATAAAGGTGAAAATTTTATCCCTAAGTTCTCACACCACCGAGACTTTCTGCCACTGGTTAAACAATGACAAATGGCAACAATAGAAACTAGATCAATATTCTCAATCCTCAATCCTGACTGCGTATTAGAATCATCTGGGGTGCACAGGCATGAGATTCCAGTGTGCTGCCAGTGGTGAGAGCCACTGCTCCAGACTAAACCTACATGTAGAAACTTCATTTTCCAGGGCTTTGAGATCTACTCTTAAATTTTCTGAGGTTCTTATATCACCCTTATCTAGAGCTTGAACAATTTAGAAAACAATTGGATAGTAGCCCAATTTTTGGCTTGAGAAATAATAACCATATTACGTGATGGTATTTCTTGTGCCTTTGTCTTAGAAAAGCCCCTCTCCCCGCAACAGTTGATTTAACTTTGTGCATTTTGCAAGGTAAGCTCCTCAGTGGATGAAACAGACTAGGTGGCAATGGCTCTATTGGAAAGAAGGTGGGCAGTAGGCCTGGAGTCTCGTGTTCTGTGCCCATGGCTGGCTGGGAGCAGCTCCAAGGAGCTCTGCAAGAACTTGGCTGGGAAGTCCTCAATCTAAAACCGAGTCTTCAAATTGCAGAATGAAATCCTTTGCGCAAGAGTTGGCAGACATTCTGCAAAGGGACAAAGCATAAATACCTGACGCTTTGTGGGCCACGTGGTTGGTCTCTGTTACAACTCGTTAAGTCTGTCATTTTAGTGCAAAAGCAGCTCTAGATAGGCAATGTGTAAGCCAAGGTGTAAATAGAGAAGTATGGCTTTGTTCCAATAATTGTTGATAGACATGAACATTTTAATTTTATATAATATTCACATGTCACAAAATATTATGATTCTTCTGCTTTTTTAAAGCACTTAAAAAAACAAAAGCCATTGTTAACTTGCAGGCTTTACAAGACCAGTGGTGGACTGGGTTTGGCTATCGGGCTGTAGTTTGCTGGCTTCTGTGTTAGTGTATTTAGAATCTCTGGCTATGGTACTCAGTTGTCAGTGTCTTTTAGAGAGAGTCCCTCTGATAATTCCAACATGTAGTCAAGATAGTGAATTCCTGCATTAATGGGCCTTGGAATCAATTCACTGTATCGTTACTGGCATTAAAATAGTAAATCATGTAAAATAGAAGAGACTGCATCACACATAATAAGGACATTATTTTGTTTCATAGGTGTTTATGTATTTGTGTACAGTGAGTTGCAGTGTACATTCAGTATGTCTTAATCACACGTGAATGTGTCTTAAGGTTGATATACCCTGTTATACCCTACCTGAATACCTGGCCTCCGGAGGGGCTGAGGGAATCAACAGCCCGTGACACAAGTGAAATCCATTCAAGGCAACCACAGCTGTTGCCCAGTTGGCTCCACCATAGAACAATCTTATCCAGCTTTTATAGGGTCCATAACAGCAGTTACAGTTTCTAAGTGTATTGTGTCATTAAAATGATTTACGAGTTCTGAGACAGAATTCTTTAAAAATATAAAGTTAACCAAAGGGATAATTACTTATAGGCTATATACCTTTAAAACATGGAGGAGGATAAAAGCAAACTGACCATAGCATATATGTCAAAACATCAGAGATAAATCATTAAAAAAAGAAAGTGTGGAATAGACATAATAAAAGATACTTTAGTTGTGGATCCATTTATACACATGAATTAAATTTCCATATTAAAATACAAAGACCTTTAGATTTAGACAAAATAGACAAGAAAAAAAAGACCCCAACAAAGGTATGCTGGATCACAAGAAGCACAAACAAAAGAATGCAAAATGTGTAAAAAAAAAAAAAAAAGATGCAAAGGAATATTAGACAAATACAAATGAATAAAAGCAGGAATCAAAAATTTAAGATTAGACAAAGTAGACTTAAAGGCAAAAATGCTTAAAAAGACATGAAGGATTAATTTATACTGTTAAAGGATATATTATACAATGAGTCTTAGGTAAATATGGGCCATTATATCCCCATAGCATAGCAACAAGAAATATAAAGCAAAAGAAGAATTTGAAGAATTACAATGGTAGTGGAACAGTTTTAACAGTTTTCTCCAACTGTGATAGATCAATGACGCAAAGAAATAAACACTGACAGGACCTGAAAAACATCTGACTTGCAATCACAAGTGATTGATGTTGACTTTTCTCAAGTAATAAACCAATGAGAATAAACTTTACCGTGTGTCTCTACATTCCCATACACTCATTTTGAAGTGACGTTGCTGAATTGCCTGACAAGATGGTTTTGAGATCTGTACGTGACAGAATAGTTCAGAGGACAGACACCAAGAGGCATATCTGTGTAGTGTCTCTCTTAGCAAGATGCAATTTCACTGCCATGGTTCCTCTTTCCAGTTGGCTTCAACAGATGGACTATACTCACTTTTTGTACTTTAGGATTATTTTCTTTCGTTTGATTTTTAAATATGATTGTGACTGAAAAATAAGTGGTAATTGTCAAAGGCGATCCTTAGATTAAAGATCCTTAGATTAGAAGGTATCTAGCCCAGTTTAAAAGGAGCAAAAGGTTAACATCATAGTCCCCCCAATTAAGGTTCATTAACTGCACCAGAAGGAGAAGACAGACCATAAGCCTTCATTACAGGCTCCACTTTAGTGAGAGCGCAAGCAGAACACTGACAATGTTGTAAGAGTCAGGAAGAGCCAAGCCTGGAACAAGCCTGTATGACAAACGAGGTTAATTTAATGTTTTGATTAAGTGCACAAATTCTAGAGCCAGTCTGTGTGGGTTCGGACTAATTTCCCTACTAGCTGAGACCTAGGGCAAGTCAATTGATCTCTGTACCTTTGTTCCATCTTTTGTAAAATGGGGATAATAATTGTCACTATCTTATAAATTACTGACTTAGTTAAATGAGTTAAAATATGTGTATTTTTTTGCACAAATGGAAAAGCTGCTCTTAAAATTCATATGGAATTTCTAGAACTATAAAAAAACAAACTAATCTTGAAAAAAACAAAGGTGGAGGACTTATACTCCAAAATTTCAAAACTTATTACAAAGCAAGAGTATTAAAAAAACAGTGTGCTGCTGGTCAAAGAATCAATGGAATAGAATCGGGAATCTAGAAATAAACCCATATCTTTATCAATTATTTTCAACAAGGGGGCCAAGACCATTAAATAGTGAAAGAACAGACTCTTCAACAAACTGTGCTGGGACAACCAAGTATCCTAATGCAAAAGAATGAAGTTGGATTCTTATCCCACACCATCTAAAAATATCAAATCAAAAAATGGACCAATGGACTACATAATTATAAGAGTTAAAACTATAAAACCCTTAGAAGGAAACATGGGAGTAAATATTTATCTTCTTAGATTTGCAGTGGTTTTCTTTTGCAAGATAGGATACCAAAAGCACATGCAACCAAATTTATTTTTTTAAATGTTTATTTTATTTTTGAGAGAGAGGGAGGGAGAGAGAGAGAGAGTGAGCATGAGTTAGGGAGGGGAGAGAGAGAGGGGGACACAGAATCTGAAGCAGGCTCCAGGCTCTGAGTTGTCAGCACAGAGCCTGATACGGGGCTCAAATCCACAAACTGAGATCATAACCTGAGATGAAATCCGGCGCCAAACTGACTGAGCCACCCAGGTGCCATGCAACAAAATTTTAAAAAATAAGTAAATTGGCATTCATCAAAATTAAAAATTTTTTTGTTATCAAAGGATGCTCTCAAGAGAGTAAAAACACCATCCACAGGATGGGGGAAAGTATTTGCAGATTATCTATCTGATAAGAGTCTAGTATTCAGAATATATAAAGAACTGTTATAATGGAACAAAACCATGAACAACCCAATTTAAAAATGGACAAAGAACTTGAGTAGGCATTTCTCCAAAGAAGATATACAAATGGTCAACAACCACATGAAAAGATGCTCAACTCCTTCAGTTGCTAAGGGAATGTAAATCAAAACCACAATGAAATATGACTTCACACCTACTAGAAAATAACAACTGTTGCTGAAGTTGTGGAGATATTGGAATCTCATACACTCCTGGAGGGGCTGTAAAACAGTGAAGCTTCTATGGAAAAAGTATGGCATTTCCTCAATAAGTTATCCATAAAATACCATCTGACTCAGAATTCCTACTCCTAGATATTGAAAACAGGTGTTCAAAAACAAAAAAGCTTGTATAAGAATCTTTATAATAACACTATTTCCAAAAGCCAAAAATGTACACAAGACCAAATGTCTACCAACTGATGAATGAATAAAATGTGGTACATCCATGCAATGGAATATTATTGATTCATAAAAAAGAATGAAGTACTGGCACTTGCTACATGCTAGGTGAATGAAAACAAATGTAAAAGACCATGTATTTATGATTACATGTATATGAAATATCTGGGATAGGAAACTGATGGGGACAGAAAGCAAGTTAGTTATTGTCAAGGCTAGTGGGAGATGAAATGAGAGTTTAATGCATCTGGTATTTCCTTTTAGGTTTATGAAAATGTTCTGAAACTAGATAATAGCTATGGGTGTACA